CGTTGTGTTCATAATCATGTTTTAAAATAAAGACTGAAACGAGTTGTCGGAAGCTTAATGGTGATGATGTTGAAGTCATGTGACCGTGGCGTAGTTCATTTATAACCTATGTTTAGCTTTTTATTTCTGGCACTTGTATTTATGCTTCAAAATTCATAAAAGTTGTGTTCATTATCATGATGGACAAAACATGTAAGAATCGTAAGCTTTTGTTGATCACAGAGCTTATTTGCTGCAATAATAGAAAAAAAAAGAATGGAAAATCCTTTTGCATTTTTGTGATGAGAGCTTACAGGTCGGCCTACAAAAATACGTCATAGCGCTTAGCAAGAGAAATCTATGAAAGATGGGCAACTTTGTGGGTGTTGATTTTGCTATCAATCTGTCAGCTAAATAGAGTTAATTTCGGTAACAAAGACTATGACGAAAAATGTTTGTTGACAAGCTTTTTTCCCATGACTAAGACGAGACGACAATAAGGTCAATAAACGATAACTAAGACTATATCAACATGCAATTTCGTTGACGAAATAAGACGAGACTAAAATGTATTCAAAAAGATAAAAACTTTACCAAAACCCTCTTTTAATTTTTGTCAAAAAAAGGAGAATTTTTTTTTATTGCAGACTGCTCTACTAGGCGAGCTTTCATGAGTGCGGTTGCCAGATATCAAGAGTTCTAATCCCCGAATCAGAGCTTCGCTGTTAAATTCATACATTTTCTGCCCGGTGTGTTTTGCTTATTTTAAGCAATCTGGCAACCATGCGCACGCGCTCGCTCCTCATTGCGGAAGCGCCATAGACTATTGCAATTTTGGAATTAGTGGAATTACTAGGAATTTCACTGTTATACTATTTTTCGTTTGTTTTAGCTGTTTTCATAATGTAGACCGAGAGATTGCATACGTCTTTGGTATTAATTTCTATAATAAAAAGCCTATAATAAATCAGTACACTAGATGAATACACCATGTATGTGTCCACATTCTATTGATCTGTGCTTACTGGAGAAAGTGCAATACCTGAAATGCAAAAGTAAAT